TTCTAGTAAAGGTGAATTCCAACCTCCTAGGTAGTGGTGGTTTAGTCGCTAAGTCATGTCCAACTATTGCGACCCCATGGACCGTAGCCCACCAGGCTCCTCTGTCCATGGGATTCTCCAGGCAAGAATACTGGAGTGGTTTGCCGTTTCCTTCTCCGGGGATCTTCCCGACCCAGGGATCAAATCCGGGTCTCTTGCATTGAACCTTCTAGGGAAGCACCATTGTGGAAGAGGAACCCAGAGTCTGTTTGTGAAATTGGACCAGGCCCCAGTTCCCTCCGCCTCTCTCACAGGTGCCTGGAGAAAGCCACCTCCTCCCTGGCAGTGCTTTAGCTGCCAAATCAGGGATAATCATCCCACCTGTACAGAGGGCCTCTTGGGGAGGAGCTGATGGGAAGTCTGATCAGGGCAGGAGGCAGGAAGGGAACCGGGTGTGGGAGCCTGGGCTCCTGCCACCCAGAGCCCACCGCCCCTCGGGCCCACAGGCCTGTCTGCAGCCTGTTTCTCAAGCCATCTGAGAAGCCCACAGGCACCAGCTCCGGGCTCACCCAGGAGTGGGACAGCAGCTCTGCGAAGGTCATGTTCAGGGAGGCACCGACATCCCCGCTCTGAAGCCACCAGGGGACATCCTGGTGCGGTCTTCTGGGCCACTAGGCACCCTGTTATAATGACCTAGTGAACTAGGGGTGCCAGGGCAGAACCACGATCCCCAAGTGAGCCTTATTCCTGAAACTCTGAAGGTTAGGGGTCCGGTCCTCCTGAATCTAATGGTGTAGTCCTAACCCACTGGGATTCAGTCCGCCTGTGCCAGGGCCAAATCCAGGGTCATTTCAGAGACTTAGAAGCCTCCTCTCCAAGTAAAAACCTTGCCATGTGCTGCAGAGGTGGAGGGTTATTTCATTGGACTGAACCCTTTTTAAGAGATGGGAGGTGAGGAAAAGAAGGGAAAGACAAAGACGGGAGGGATGACCATCCCATCGAGTCAACATAGGCGGCCTGGACAGACCATGGCAGGAAGGCAGCAGGCTCCTTGGCTAGTTCCCAGGAGCGTGGCTGACACTTAGGGGAGCCCTCGGCTGCAGGACGAACACCCGGCGCGGCCGCGCCCCGAGCGCCCGCTAGGTGGCAGCGTAGCACCTGGGAGAGAGTTCACCCGTCCCGGAGGCAGCGGTTTGCACGTCTGCGGGCTAAGTGACTTCAGTCCTGTCTTGACTCTCTGCGACGCTGCGGACTGCAGCCTGCCAGGCTCCTCTGTCCATGGGATTCTCCAGGCGAGAGTACTGGAGTGGGTTGCCGTGCCCTCCTCCGGGGGATCTGCCTGACCCAGGGATCGAACCCGTTTCTCTTAGGCCTACTGGGTTCTTTACCACTAGCGCCACCTGGGAAGCCCCGGAGGCAGAGATTTAGGTTCCGCCTGTTTCCACAAACGCCTGAAAGTCAACAACAGGTCGCAGTATTGGAAATCACATTTTGGCAGGTAAAAAGATGTAGTGAGTGATTTACTTCAAATGTAAGTGGTTGGCACTCTATTCAGGGAAGCAATTTCTAATCTTTGCCATTAGGTACTGACCAGTAGAGGGGATTTGAAAGATTTCTTTATGTCCTCTTGTTAAAGATCTGCCTGGCGTGTGTTCATTCCTGCTGGCCTGACCTTGAGATGGGCTCATTTTGAGGTGGGAAGCTGAATGGTGGAGGTGGAAGGGCCCCTCATTCAAGCCTGTTCTTCCCCAGTCTAGAGTCTTTGGAAACTAAAGGACTCACCACATATTCCTGGAGAAGGCCACTCAGACATCAGAAATACTCAAGATTGCTTAATTCAGGTTTGTATAGTCCAAGCCTTTGATTAAAAGGAAGCTATAAACAATGTGTTTACTATGTAGTCAGCATGGTTTGGATGCAGGTTCTAAGGGGGTAACACAAAGGGTCCCAGGTCTAACCCACCCTGTTTTACAAGGGGAGCAACTAAGTCCCCAAAATGGGTGTGGTTAGAGCCTGTGGAGTCCATAAATACTTACTCAGAGCTCTTTCTATTCCACCCGGGTCAGCGATCATCAGCAAGTGGAGGCAATCCCACTGCAGGGCTGAAGTGTCGTTTCCTGATACCCAGACATGGAGCAAAGCCAAGGATGAGCCGCCTCCTTGACACACCCCCAAATATCTGAGAAATGTCAAGAGTGACAGATCACTCTTCTAGGTTGGTGTTTCTACATTTTCTCTTACTTCCTTCTAGTTACCTGTGCATCACACCTTATCACATTTTTCTGCAGCATGAGAGGGTGAGGCTAGAATTAGAACTTATGTGCAGGCTGAGGAATGGATTAGAGAAAGAAGGGCAGGCTTTGAGGGCAGTGGGGGATTGTTGTTGTTGTTCAGGCACTAAGTCATGTCCAATTTTTTGTGACCCTGTGGACTGCAGCACTCCAGGCTTTCCTGTCCATCATTATCTCACAGTTTGCTCACACTCATGTCCATTGACTCGGTGATGGCATCAATCATCTCATCCTCTTCTCCTCTTGCCTTCAATCTTTCCCAGAATCAGGGTCTTTTCTAATGAGTTGGCTCTTCACATCAGGTAGCCAAAGTATTGGAGCTTCAGCTTCAGCATCAATCCTTCTAATGAATATTCAGAGTTGATCTCTTTAGGATAGACTAGTTTGATCTCCTTGCTGTCCAAGAGGCTCTCAAGAGTCTTTTCCAGCACCACAGTTCGAAAGCATCAATTCTTTGGCAGCAGTGGGGGGAGTCTTCCTAAACTTTGCCTCCCAGGCATTTACAGAGCCTGGCCTTACGCAATGAGTCCAAGAGGTCCTCAGCACCCAGGGATCAACTCTGGAACCAGATGCCAAAGCTGGACACATAAGAGCAAGGGCAGCCACCACGTGGTCTTCTTTTGTCCAGACTTTCCAGAATCAAGGGCCAAAGGCCTCTCTGTTCACACGTGGACCCCAAGGCTGAAGGGTTCTTTGTGCCAGGGAGGTACTGCTAAAACCCAGGGCCAAACTTAGACCTGGCACCCTGGATGGTCCAGAGTGAGTCTCCAGGCCTCAACCCCCAGCACAGAGCTTGCTTCTATGGTGTAGATGCTCCCAGACCTGCATCACCCACTCCCACAGGGATCCCCATTATCAATATACACTTGTCTCTGTTTATGAATGACTAGACTTGGAGATTTCTCTGTGCACCTTCTCTTTTCAACCACAGAGAGAACGATCAACTAAGATCCATTCCCTCATCTCTTATTCACCCCCTCAACCCAGGGTCAGTCCTTTTTAGCCAACAGTGACTTTCCAGCTCCGCGTGCTGTTGATCTAGCAAACTGGATTAACTCTGCTGTGTGTTAGAGTCAGGACCCTCTTGTCCTGTCTTCCGGCTACAACCTGTCACCTCCTCATAACCCTCACAGCCTCCACCATCTGCTCACATCAGGATTTACAGGCTGCATCCTGCTGAGCAGAATAGAGTCTGTGTTAAATTCTTACAGAAACCTGTGTAGATAATATCCTCCTATCAGAGATCCAGAAAGCACATTGAAAATGCACAGAACTAAGTGGATGAAACTAGAGCATGTTATACAGAGTGAAGTAAGTCAGAAAGAGAAAAACAAGTATTGTATATTAACGATATATGTTCTTATATTAAACTAGTATCATATATTCCATATATATGTCACATATATATGGAATATAGAAAAGTGGTACAGATGAACATATTTGCAGGGCAGGAATAGAGACTCAGACATAGAGACCAATCTGTGGACACAGCAGGGGAAAGAGAGGGTGAGATGAATTGAGAGAGTAGCCTTGAAATATATACATTACCACACATAAAATACATAGCTAGTGGAAAGTTGCTATGTAACACAAGGAGCTCATCCTGGTGCCCTGTGATGACTCTGAGGGGTGAGATGGGGTGGTAAGTGGGTAGGAGGTTCAAGAGGGAGGGTACATGTGTATACCTATGGCTGATTCATGTTGATGTATGGCAGAAACCAACACAACATTGTAATCCAATTATCGTCCCAATTAAAAATAAATTTTAAGAAAATGCATAGAACTCCTGCAGCATAAGAACCTGTTAACATGACTCCATATGTCCTCGGGGTCCTTGGCCAGAAGTTTCCCTTCACGCCAGCCTAGTGAGGGTGCCTGTGCGCCTGCCCTTGCCTCACTCTCTGGCCTGAGCCCTTCCAACCAAACAAGTTAGCCCATGCCTCTTTCCCCATAAATATTCCCCTCCTTCCACTGTCCAGCACCCACCCCCTTGCATTCCCTCACTCTCATGGTCCCTGTAACACAGTGTACCGTCCAACTTGAGATGTGTGTTTTACGGACGTCCAGCTGTAAGTCCTCTGAAACAGGAGTTATGTTTCGTTCCTTTCTGAGCCTGGACCAGCCCAGCAAGGATGGGAATGAGTGCTCATCTAGGGGTTTTCCAACACCCCAGCCGACTGGCCTTTTTTGCTCTATATCCCTCCTCCTGGATGGCTTGGCTGGGTTTGTTCATTAGTGCCTCTTCTGAGGGATGAAGGGGAAGGGATGAAAGAGAACCCAGACTCCCTGTGTAGTTCACCAGCTCCTAACATTGCCCAGGAGTTTGCTTGGCCAAAGTGAATGGTTTGTATATTTCCTTCCCTGGTTTCTGTATTTAAAGAGCCAAAGGAGAAATTTTCATCCTGTGTGTGCGTGTGTGTGTGGATGTCTATGTGTGTGTCTGCATATGTGCATGTCTGTGTGTATTCTTAAGTATATGTCTGCATGTGTCCATGAGTGTGTCTATGTATATATCTGTGGAATGTATTTTAATATATGTGTGTTGTGTGTGTCTCTAGGGGGGTGTGTGTATGTCTGTAAATGTGTGTGTCTCTGTATGTCTGTCTGCAGATGCGTATGTGTGTCTGTTTGTAGCTGTGTGTGCGTGTGTCTACAAGTGCATGAACTCAGAGTCAGTCCTGGCCATCCTGACATGGGGAACAGCAGTCTCCCAGGTGGCTCAAGTGTCCTTCAGTCCTGGCTGCGTCTGTCGCAGCCTCCCCCACCCACGCCATCCTCCTGGGCTTTCTGCTGGGCCCCGGTGTCCAGGTGCCAGAGAAGTGGGCGCTTTGTTCCAGCCTGTCCTTGAACCACAGCCCTGCCTAGAGCCCCGCGGGGACAGCCCAGCAGGCTGTGTCTCTGCACGTCCAGGAACCTGGCCCGGATCCAGAGCCAGCCCTGCCGGTTCTGCGAGGACAGGGCCCTGGGGATTTCACCATCAGCCACCTTACTGCCCTGGGACACTGGCTTCTCCACCTCCTTTGCTTTCTAGATCAGATGAAGACAAGGTGCGGCCTGGGCCACCCAACTGTTGAGAGGCTGTGGGCCTTGCCTGCATGGCCTCACCAAGTAGGGAGGCCTGAGGAGCACCCCATGGTGCTCACATCCAAAGTGGCACAGTCTTGATCAGCAATGAAATCCTTACCCAGCTCAGCTATCACTTGTCCTGGTCACTCTCATTTCTTGTCATTGAGCTCTCTTTCTGTCTCTGAAAAGCTCAAAAAATTCCCCTTTACCTTTGAATTTCCAAAAGAAACATGTTTAAAGTATATTCTGCTGTGAATCCATCAGGCCTGTTAAAGAGGGCCTGTTCCCTCATTCACAGTACCCCGTGAAAAATGTAAATGCGGGACTCTATAAGACAGCATACTTACAGATACTATAGTATAAAGCTTTCCTTTCCGTCACAGACTCTCTTGACTTGAATGGTGTTTTGGTTTTCATTTATTTTTTTGATGTAAAATAATTTATTTATATGTTTACCTTAAGAACCTTCTTATATTTTCCCATACTTGTGCCAGTATATCCATTTCATTATATTTTTTAAACTTTTTATTTTGTATCAGAGTACAGTTGATTAACGATGTTGTGATAGTTTCAGGTGGACAGTGGAGGGACCCAGCCATATGTATATGTGTATCTTCTCCCCCAGACTCCCTTCCCACTCAGGCAGCCACATATATAGAGCAGAGTTCCATGTGCAGTACACTAGATACTTGTTAGTTACCCTTTTTAAATATAGCAGTGCGTACATGCCCATCCCAAACTGCCTGTCTTTCCCCCTATCCTTCCCTCTAGCAACCGTAAGTTTGTTCTCTAAGGCTGTGGGTTTGTTTCTGTTTTGCAAGTTCATTGATACCATTTTGTTTAAGGTTCCACATAAAAGGGATGTCCTATGACATTTCTCCTTCTCTGACTTGCTTCACTCAGTATGATACTCTCTAGGTTCATCTATGTTGCTTCAAATGGCATTATTTCATTCTTTTAAATGGCTGACTAATATTCCACTGTGCATGGTGTTTTTAATGTTGTCCCAAATAAATAAAAGTTAAAATTTTTAATAATTAGCATACATTTTAGCATTCACCATTATACTGTGCAATGTCACTTTAAATGTAAAGGCAAGAGTATCTGAGTCATGTGAAGAACCATTGAAATGACATAGTTTATTTGTGTAGTTCATGCAGGTGTATTTCTTTCTTTAAAGAAAAAAATTATTTGGCTATGCTGGGTCTTAGTTGCAGCATACAGAATCTTTGTTGCCATATCGGAGAACTAGTTCCCTGACCAGGGATCGAACCTGGGTCCCCTGCATTGGGAGCACAGAATCTTAACCACTCGACCACGAGGGAAATCCCCATGGAGGTCTATTTCATTCTTACCTGAGCAATGGAAATATTGCACAGAACTAACTCGAGCACTCTTAGTTCACTTATTGACACTTTGGCCTGATGAGGAGAAAGGAAGAGCTAAATAAGAATGTGCTTCCCTTTCCTGCTGTGTTAGCACTTTAGGGCAGTGGTTGGCTGATACAGAGATGTAAATGGTTAAGGAAGGCTAGGCCAGGGTGCCTTGGTTCTTCATGTTGCTGAGACGGCCACTGCCTTCCCTGTGCATTTGAAGCAAGTTCTGGTTCAAGTAGAGAGTGGCTTCGCAGAGCTGTCACCGCCCCTTCACTTGGCTGTAAAGCTACACGCTTACCGTACTCACTCCGAGTCTTGCTGAATGGACTCCCTGCATCCTGGTGCACAATTACTCTGCTTATGGGGCACTGTGAATTTGAATCAGGCAACAGGAAACCAGCAGACGCCAGTTCTGCACACATGTACACTCCATTATCCCCATCAGACCTCACTTACAAAACATAAATTTAAAGCTTAAATTATTAACAATTTCAAGTCAGTGACAGCAAGGCATTAAGTCAAGTTGACAGCCTTCCAAGCACAGGGCCCCATAGATTGCAAAGGCCACACAGTGGTAAGGCTAGTCTCGCTTAGAACTGAAAATATCTGGTAAAGATTCTTTTATTTGTTGAGTGATTATTTTCCTCCCTGGATTCTCTCTGTTCTCCTCTAACTCTAGGAAAATAAGTAATGCGGCTTCTGACTCTCCTCTTTATGTGTTCACTGTTCTCTCCTAATCTGATTTTCTTGTCCTCAGGAATATTCTGCAAGAAATGTCTGGTCTTTTAGTTCACTAAATCATTCTTCAATCATGTCATTTGCTACTGAACCTACTTACTGAGGTTTTTTTTTTAAGCAATCATTTTTTTTTTTAAATTTCCAAGTTTCCTAGTTCTTTTTCATAACAAACTCTTCCTGTTTTATGAATAGTTTACATTCTCTAATCTCCTTGACTATATTGTGATTACGTTTAAGACTTTTCCAAATGGGCTCCTTCCATGTGTTGAATATAGTGTTCAATTTTCTCTGATGTTTGAGAGTTCTCAGTTATCTGCTGATCTTTCTGTTTGGGAATCCTTGATCAGCATGCCTCTCTGTGCCTGGTTTTCCTGTTTGTAAAATAAAGGCCTCAAGTAGCTGAGTGGTTTTCAACTCTTTTTAACTTTGGTAAGCATTGTCAAATGAAATCTTGTTTGTGAAAGCACCGTGTGTAAATGGAGATGGTGTGGCAATAGTCACAGCAGGTGCCAACCCTGGAGGCACTGACTTGGAATTCCCTCCTGCAGCCCCACCTCAAGATAGGCTTTGATGGGACTCCTGGATCTGGTGATCCAGATGGTCATTTCAAACTCAAATGTTGTGGGATTCCTTTGTGTGTGTGTGTGTGTGTGTGTGTGTGTGTGTGGCTCACAGCAATATTTATTATCTCGGTTTTGGTGGGTCAGGAATCTAAGTCACTGCTAAGCTGGGTCTTCTGACTCTGGTCACTCACAAGGCTGCCTTCCAGGTGCCAGCTGAACCAGCATTGTCTAAGACTACTAGTAAAAGAGTACTCCCAAGCTCACTCATGTCTGGAGGATTCAGTTCTTTGCAGATTCAGTTCTTGGCCAGACTTCTCCCTTCACTCCTCACTGTGTGGGCATCTTCCTAGAAGACTCACACAGGGCCACTAGATTCATGAGACTGAGCAAATGAGAAGACAAAAGAGAGCAAGATGGAAATCACAATCTTTTGCAACTTAATGTTGAAAACAGCATCTCATAACTTTCCCCACTATATATTTATTAGAAGCAAGTCACTAGTCCCTGCTTAGATTCAAACGGAGGGTATTACAGAATAGTATAAGTATCAGCAGGTGGGGACCACTGGGACCCATTTCAGAAGTTGCCTACCACAGAAATTACAAATGAGAAGGTGGTTCCTTCAATGTCTACACCCTCCGTGCAATTTTCCAAACTTCATGTAAAAGTGACTTTATTTTAAAAATTGACATTCTGAGCACTTCATCTTTTTCTTGATACGTTTTCTTTTTTTTAACTTTTTAATTTATTTATTTTAATTGGAGGCTAATTACTTTACAATATTGTAGTGGTTTTGCCATACATTGACATGAATCAGCCATGGGCATACATGTGTTCCCCATCCTGATCCCCCCTCCCACCTCCCTCCCCATCCCACCCCTCAGGGTCATCCCAGTGCACCAGCCCCGAGCACCCTCTCTCATGCATCGAACCTAGACTGGCGATCTGTTTCACATATGATAATATATATGTTTCAGTGCTGTTCTCTCAAATCATCCCACCCTCACCTTCTCCCACAGAGTCCAAAAGATGTTCTATACATCTGTGTTTCTTTTGCTGTCTCACATATAGGGTCACCGTTACCATCTTTCTAAATTCCATATATATCCGTTAGTATGCTGTATTGGTCTTTTTCTTTCTGGCTTACTTCACTCTGTATAATCGGCTCCAGTTTCATCCACCTCATTAGAACTGATTCAAATTTATTCTTTTTAATGGCTGAGTAATATTCCATAGTGTATATGTACCACAGCTTCCTTGCCCATTCGTCTGCTGATGGGCATCTGGGTTGCTTCCTTGTCCTGGCAATTGTAAACAGAGCTGTGATGAACACTGGGGTGCACGTGTCTCTTTCAGATCTGGTTTCCTCGGTGTGTATGCCCAGAAGTGGGATTGCTGGGTCATATGGCAGTTCTATTTCCAGTTTTTTAAGGAATCTCCACACTGTTCTCCATAGTGGCTCTACTAGTTTGCATACTTGAAATCTGTGAAATCCTTTCCTACATATTCATTCGGGCATGGTTCTAGAAATAGAAGCAGCCCCCCTGGCAGGGATACTTGCAGTGACTCGAATACCACCGCACTTCGGATGGGAACAAACCTCCCACGAGAAGCTTCCAGATCAAGTCTTGACAAGACAAGCTGCACATAACAGCAGTGACGTAAGTTACCAAGGAACACGCAATTCTGTTTCTTTAAGTGGTCCTCCTGATTCAAAGGAATCATTTCCAGAAAAGACCAAGCTCCAGTCCTGACCTCTGTGTATCATATCAGAGTAGATGCTAAAAGCAGTACATTCTTGGCATTCGATCATGAAAAAGACAAAACTGCCTTTCTGGCTTGACCCCACACTGCTCTTTCCCATGCCCCGTGAAGAGCAAATGCCAGGTGGGACAGGGCTCTGTGATAGGACCTGCAATCCAGCTTCTTGTCTAGAAATAAGTCAAAGCACCAATGTGGAAATACCTGCTGTTCTTAAAATAGACCCATGTACCTCAGTGTTTTGTTTTTTCCTTAAGTTCCCTTGAGATTCAACAAAAGAAATGAGGAAGTGAAAGTTTTGAATTGGTTTGTGCTCTTTTATCTCAAAGAGGATGGTTCTGTTTTTAAGGGCTTCTGAGAGGAAAACTGAGTTTATTCCTCTTAAGAGGTCAGTTTTACGTGAATCAAACAAATGAAACAGCAACAACCACAATAATAAATCCTGGATTATATCCACAAAAGAAGTTTGCCACGGGAAACCCATTTCCTTGGCTCTGGGAGGTTTTCAGCTCTCATCCTCTCCCAGCCTTCTCCTCCTAGAGCTCTGGGACCAAGAGGTGCCCCTCACACCTTTGCTTCTTCTTGTACTTGTATCTGTTTGTCTTTCTGCATACATTCTGGAATAAACCTGGATCTTCAATGTCAGGCATCAGAACGCTCTTCAGGGTTTTCACTGTTCTGGATAATCTGCAGTCTTAATGTTAAAAGCAGCAATAATGATACATTTATTTATTTATTTATTTCCCCTTTTGTCAGCCCCCTCAAAGCCATGATCATACAGTGGGTGACATTGGGGGATCCCACTTCAGTCTACACTGGCCATCCCCTACTATAACCCCGGCTTGTCACTTACAGCCCACAGACAGAAAACACAGACTGCAACACCAATCAGGAAGGAAGTGCCATGGACAAGGAAAGTGGTATCTGTGGGCCTCTCCCTCCCCAAGACCCACATGGATCTTCCGAGCTCTGAGCTCCACACAGATGTGGCCCTTGAGGGTTTTTTTTTTGCTTTTAAATGTGAAATACACACACGCACACACACATATAGCACATTTCATAAGTGCATGATTTATTGAAGTCTCACTAACTGTTCAACCCACACGTCCAGCCCCAGAACAAGAGCAGATGTCAGCAACCCCAAGGAAGGACCACCTGGTTAGAGGGGGACCAGAGCCACTGTTACCCTGACTTCCATCAGCAGAGCTTAGTTTCCCTGCTTAGATGGGAATACCAGACCATCTTATCTGTCTCCTGAAAAACCACTATGCAGGTCAGGAAGCAACAGTTAGTACAAGACATGGAACAACATACTGGTTCAAAATTGGGAAAGGAGTGTGACAAAGTTGTATCACTCTGTTTATTTAACTTCTATACAGAGTACATCATGTGAAATGTCAGGCTGGATGAATCACAAGCTGAAAGCAATATTACCAGGAGAAATAGCAACAACCTCAGATATGCAGATGACACCATTCTAATGGCAGAAAGCAAAGAGGAACTAAAGAGCCTCTTGATGAAAGAGGAGAGTGAAAAATCTGGTTTGAAACTCATCGAAAAATCTAAGATCATGGCATTTGGTCCCATCACTTCATGGCATATAGATGAGGAAAAAGTAGAAGCAGTTTCAGATTTTATTTACTTGTGCTACAAAATGTCTGAGGACAGTGACTGCAGCCATGAAATTAAAAGACGCTTGCTCCTTAGAGGAAAAGCTGTGACAAACCTAGGCAACATATTAAAAAGCAAAGACATCACTTTGTCAACAAAGCTCTGTTTAGTCAAAGCTATGATTTTTCCAGTAGTCATGTATAGATATGAGCGTTGGACCATAAAGAAAGCTGAGGGCCAAAGAATTGATACTTTAAAATTGTGGTGCTGGAGAAGATTCTTGAGAGTCCCTTGGACTGCAAGGAGATCACACCAGTCAATCCTAAAGAAAATCAACCCTGAAAATTTATGAGAGGGACTGATGCTGAAGCTGAAGCTCCAATATTTTGGCCACCTGATGTGAACACCAAGGCTGTATATTATCACTCTGCTTATTTAACATATGCAGAGTACATCATGCGAAATGCTGGGCTGGATGAAGCACAAGATTGCTGGGAGGAAGGTCAATAACCTCAAATATGCAGATGACACCTCCCTCATGGCAAAAAGCGAAGAAGAACTCAAGAGCCTCTTGATGAAAGTGAAAGAGGAGAGTGAAAAAGTTGGCTTAAAACTCAACATTCGGAAAACTAAGATCATGGCATCTGGTCCCATCACTTCATGGCAAATAGATGGGAAAGCAATGAAAACAGTGACAGACTTTATTTTGGGGGGCTCCAAAATCACTGCAGATGGTGACTGCAGCCATGAAATTAAAAGGCGCTTGCTCCTTGGAAGAAAAGCTATGACCAACCTAGACAGCATATTAAAAAACAGAGACATTACTTTACCAACAAAAGTCTGTCTAGTCAAAGCTATGGTTTTTCCAGTAGTCATGTACAGATGTGAGAGTTGGACTATAAAGAAAGCTGAACGCTAAAGAATTGATGCTTTTGAACTGTGATGTTGGAGAAGACTCTTGAGAGTCCTTTGGACTGCAAGGAGATCTAACCATCCATCCTAAAGGAAATCAGTCCTGAATATTCATTGGAAGGACTGATGTTGAAGCTGAAACTCCAATACTTTGGCCACTTGATGCAAAGAACTGACTCCTTGGAAAAGACCCTGATGCTGGGAAAGATTGAAGGCAAAAGGAGAAGAGGGCAGCAGAGAATGAGATGGTTGGATGGCATCACCAACATGATGGACATGAGTTTGAGTAGACTCCTGGAATTGGTGATGGACAGGGAAGCCTGGCATGCTGCAGTCCATGGGGTCACAAAGAGCTGGACATGACTGAGCAGCTGAACTGACTGATGTGAAGAGTCAGAGTCTCATTGGCAAAGACCCTGATGCTGGGGAATGGACTAACTCAATGGACATGAGTTTGAGCAAACTCAGGGAGATAGTGAAGGACAGGGAAGCTTGGTGTGATGCAGTCCATGAGGGTCACAAAGAGTCAGACACAACTTAGTGACTGAACAACAAACAGCACAAATGGAATCACAGTTTGTACTTTCTTGTTCAGCTTCTTTGGCTCATGTTACATTTGCAAGCTCCTCCCCTGTGTTGTCTCATGAGCTTGTAGGTCACGGTGTCCCAGTTCCAAGTGGCATTCCCTCTCTGGAAAGAATGGGGTGTCAGGTGATTCATTCATGCATTTCTTTGCTGGTGGGCACTTGTGCCCTTACTCCCATTCGCTTGGATGAGGGGCCAGCACTTTCAAGAGTATTTTCAGGTAGAAACAGCCACTGCTGTCTAAAGAATTGAGAAATAAACCAACCAAGTCCCACTAAATGTACAATTCTATCTGTACATAAGTGTGGCGGGGAGGGGTGGGAGAAATCACTTCTAGATCCCTGAATCATTGCCTCTTTCCTGCATTCTCTGGGACTGGCAGTGTTGACTAAGCTTATAAAGATCTTAGATAGCTGATGAAACCTGGGAAGCTGCTCACCACTCCCACACTTGGTTCACTGGGAGATCTCATCAGAGAAGGAGAGATGAGTGGGTAGAAGAGGAAAGAAAGGAGGAGCAGGTGACCTCTTTCAAAGGGAACACTTTTTTAGAAACACCTGTATGCTGGACTCCATGGATGTCTTCAATCTTGAAGGTTTTGTGAAAAACATGACCACTTTATCTTGTCCCACTAAGAAGAAAGTACAGTCTCAAAGAGTCAGACACGACTTGGCAACTGAACAACAGCAACAACTCCTAACTATGTGCAGGATTTGAACTTATTAAGAAGACAAAATAAATAAGGGGAAAGAGGAGGCAGAGGACTGACTACACATCTGAGAGCCCCTCCCTTTCCTTTCCTCTGCCTGTTAGATGTGTTCTTAAGGAGGGTGAATGTTATGGAAGGAATTTATCAAAAAAAGAAAGAGCCCCACATACAACATTTAGCCTCTAACAGAGGCTGTCTCTATTGAGACAATAGTATCAAAAGGCAAACCTTTCAATCTGCAAGAGAAAAGTATTTTGATACTCAAAAAATAATTTAAAAGGATTTAAAAACCCAAAGACTGGTGGGCAGGGCATCATGTTATCCATGAATAATAAATTGAATATGTAACTGGCCTATCCAAGGCTGGGGAAAGGTGGGAGGAAGGAAGATCAGCCAGGGTTGTGGTCACAGCATCAGAGTGAGGAGGCCATTGGCCCTGGGGGACATGAAAGGACAAGGTTGAGAGTAGCCAAGATAGGGCCACTGGCCTTGAGGGAGAGGAGCTCATGCCTGTCAACCTCCATTTGGTCCAGTGAGCCTGGGGCATATTCCATGAAAAGGGATGACATTAGCAGCCTCCTGGCTATTGACCAGCATCACACCTTTCAACTGTACTCCTCATGTTGGCTGTCCCATAAGAGTGACTCTCAGGTTTGCCTAAGGACAAGTCTCAGTTTTTCTCAATAATTCCATGTGTCCCAGATGCTTCTGAGCTCCACCCCCCCAGAACAATGGTGAGTCCCAAGGCACCCAGAGATCATAGCTATACACAGCAAGGTTAATTGTATGTGTCACTTTGGCTGGGCCGTGGGGTGCCCATGCATCAGCTTAAATGTGATTCTGATTGTGTCTGTGAGTATAATTCTGGATGAAATTAGCATCAGAATTGGTGGACTGAATGAAGCAGATTGCCCTCCTCAATGTGGTGGGCCTCGCCCAATCAGTTGATGGTCTGCATAGAACAACAAAAAAAAAAAAGTGGAGGAAGGGAGAATTTTCTACCTATGTCTATCTTGAAGTTGTGACATAGTCTTATTCTGCCCTTGGAATGTGACCTTCAGTATCCCTAGTTCTCAGGCTTTCAGACTTAGACTGTACTATTCTGTCAACTCTCAGCCTTTCAGAGTAGAGTATGACTTCTTGGTCT